CGACATAAGGTGAATTTCTTTCGCAAAGTAATTAGCGATAATAAATAAGTTTTCCCTTTTGCATCATAAAACCGAACTATTTCCATGGTGCCTCCCACAATTGTATTGCTTTTGATAAGCTTATCAAAAAATAAAAGCCTAAAAGGATGTGGGACGTTCTGAGATTGTTTATACTCTGAGCGCCGGCATTCTTGTCCGTCACATATGGTACGTTTTAGCCATCGGTATCGTCCGTATTCCATACTTTTAGCCCGACAAGGGCTCATAATTAATAACATGTAATGTTTAACGTATCTATGTGAAGTCAGTGCATTCCTGCTTTGATTCGCTGTACCAATCAAGCAGTCAATCATCCAATCAGGGACCCATCAAGACATATGCTGATCAGAAAAAATTTGAAAGCTAGTGGATATTCACTATTCAGTTCTTCATCGTCAAGTTCCTCAAAGGCTTTACTCCTGCGCGTACAACTTTGCTTAACATAATCTACACGCTTTTTCTTGTAACAGCAATAAGCAAAAAGAAATTATAAATTATAACTTTAGGATAAGAAGTAATACTATTATTTATGACAATGGGATGTGCCACAGTTTCTTTGCAAGATAACGACTTTCATCGGCCTGTGACTTTACAAAAATGAAATTCATTCTCATACAAACAATGTTGTCTTAAATTATAATATTAGAAATTATCGTGATGGGTGGAGTAGCACAGTGGAGCGAGGTCAGCTATATGTCCCCAGAGGTAAAAGATTACTCTTAATGGCTAGTTTCCTTGAGAGAGGAATTCACTCCATGCTAACTTCCTGATCTCCTTACATATGCTGTCATTCTGGTAACAGATTAAAAACAGACGACTGACATGAGCCTTAATTCAGTCATCGCTGCCACGGCTCAGACTGCGACAGAACGCCGTCGTTTATTTGTTAAAATGTATAATGCGCAATTCTGCCTTCCTTCTTGGTGCTGAAACATACACCTCGTTTTGTGTTACTGTGCAGAAAGAGTAATTTATAAATTATTATCAGTTAGACTATAATCAATCAATTTCAAGAAGCGTATCGTTATGGAAACATATCGATAAGAGAAAGACTTTATTCATAAAATCTAGCATGTAATATCGCTCAAATATCAGGATCAGGCTTAGCGAAAATGAAGTTGTCAACCCTCTTTAGCCAAAATGGTTCGACTAATAGTTGCCGCAGTTGTGTTTCTGTGCAAGAGTGTCTCATCAACGGATGATCATACCGAGAACGTTAGTGACAGATGACAAATGACAACATTACCGAATAATCACTGCCCACGAATCAATGATAGATTCGAACTTTCCACTTGCGCATAAGTACAATGGTGAAAACTGAAGCAAAGAAAGCTAACTTTGGCTGAGAATGGCTCCTAGGTTCATTCAAAGTTGCCTGATCACCTAATGCCTCAATATGGATGTTGTGTTATGAATACAATTTTCCATTCTATCAAAAACGACAAATAATTTAGATTAATTTATAATGAAAAATGAAATACAAGTAAAACTGACGAAATTCCTGATATCTTTTCAGAATTGCCACATGCAAAATACAGTTCGATCGAAGAAGAGCTGTCGACAAAGATGGCATTACAATGAAACTCATGGAATCAGGAGATGAAGCACTGACCAAGATATTAGTGCGCTTGTTTTCACGCTGACTGGAGGAACTGAAAATTCAAGAGAATTTTAACACCGCATCAGTGATTTTTTTCTACAAAAGGA